TTTTTTCTTTTTCTTTCTTTTCCTTTTTTTCCCTTTTTTTTTTTGTTTTTTTTTTTTTTTGTTTTGTTTCATTTCTGTGTGTTGCTTTTTTCACTTCCCAAACCAAGGCCCCCTTTCCTGGCTTTTCAGCCCTTGAATACTACTCGATGGGGTTCAGGGATCCACCACCATCGTCACCACGTCACGACAAGACAAGAAGAAACAACGTTAAGGGGGAAAAAAAAAAAAATCAGTGGCGGGGAGCGGGGCGCCGGGGAGGGGTGGGGGGAATGAGATTCGTTTTGCCGTTCATTTTTTAGGGGGGTGGTGGTTGGCAAAATTCGGCACCGGCCCCATCCCGCTCCTTCCCCTCTCTCCATCCCTCTCTCCCGCCCTCTCTTCCCAGCAAGAAATTGGTTTAGTTTGGGGTGACCGTGTCCAGTCTGACACCCCCAGCCCCTCCACCACCCACCTACCCCAGGAGCTCTTTGGTTCAAGACGTCCTCTGACCCCGCCGGTGACCGCAGCCGGCCAGGGCTTCGTGTGCAGGGGTTCGTTCTTCCTCTCTTTCATTCTTTTGTCCTTTCTTTCCTCTTTTGTTTTTTTTTTTTTTTTAATGGGAGAGGGGGTGCTTTTTTTTTTTTTGGTTTCGCGGTTTTTTTTTTTTGGTGAACACATACGCTTTTTTCTTTTTTTTTTCCTTTTTTCCTTCTTTTCAACAAGGTGCCTTCCTGTTACACAACAGATCGCTCTCAAAGTAAAGTGAATCGAAGAAACCATAGCGCTAGAACACAGATGGTACTATTTTACCCGCATAAATTCAATAGTGTCCCTTTTTTTGGTTTGGTTTTTTTGGTTTTTTTTTTTGGTTGATGGTTGGTTTTGGAGGATTTTTTTTTTCTTTTTTTCTTTTTTTTTTTTTTTTCCCAAGGGGGGGGGGGGGGGGGGGGGCCTTTTTTTTCCCCAAGTGGCGGGGGCAGGAGGGGACCTTGTCTCCCCCTCCGTCCCCAAGCCTCTCCCAGCCCTTCCCCGTCCTCGGTGGCACCTCCTGCTCCTCCCGAGGACACCCCAGGCTGGCAAGGAGCCCGCGGGGCGGCTGGGACGAGGGCTGATTGTAAGGGTTTGGCCTCGTGATTGCTTTTTTATATGGCACAAGTCACCATCGAGAGCTCGGAGGAAACGATCGTTTTGAAGCTAGTACCATTGCTCCAGAAATTCGCGTTTTAAGGCAGGTTGTTAATTGGCACAAAAAAAAAAAAAAAATAATAATAATAATCTGGCGTCTTTTTGGTAAGTTGCCGGTCTTTGCGTTGAGCTTGTTTGGTTGTGGTTTCTGTCGTTATTCCTTTTTTGGGGGAGTTGGTTTGTTTTTTTCCCTTTGGGTCTCAGCGGGGAGTTTTCCCCCTTCTCACACCCAGGGCTGGATTTCTCCACCAAATCCCTCGGATTTCTCTCTTCCCACCGAACACCGACGTCGGTTCCCAGGAGGGAATTTGGTGGTCGTGGTGCTGTTGCGTTTTTTTGGTTTTGTAATTTCTTTGGTAACAGAGATGAAGGTGGGGGGGGACGGGACGGGAGGGGGGCAATAGTCGAGGGGTGGACGGGGCGAAGACACAAAGCCAACAAATCTGCTTTGTCTTGTGTCCGCTCCTCAACCGCAAAGTGAACCAGAAACCCCGCGGTGAGCGGTGGAGCCAGTCACCAGGAAAAGGTCAGATCCTTCGCTCCAAGTCTCTCCTCCCGTCTCCTTTCGAACAATTATTATTATTTTCAAATACCCGATTTTCTGTAGTTAAATGTGCTTCTTTGACCTGCTCGGGCGCCAGGCGACGCGGTGCGGCCGCGGTGGGTCCCCCCTCTGGCTGTGGGGCTGGGGGATGCTCGGGTGCGGGCGGCCGCGGCGTCTCCTTTGCCATGGAGTTCCTCTGGGAGGGATCCGGGGACGGGTGCTCTCGTGGGTCGGGGTGCGTGTGTGCGGGGGGAGGGGAAAGGGGGGGTGTGTGGGTGCTCTTGGGGATGTCCAGGTCGGGGTTGGTGGGGGGGGAGTCGGAGGAAGATGCCCGTGGAGGAGAGTGGAGCTGCAGGGATGCCCTCAACCAGGTTTTTAAAACCTTCAAGGGGGAGGAACGCCCGTGTGTCAATGGTGGAGAGGGTCTGGTGGCTGCTTTGGGGAACCCCTCCATTGCCCCAAACCTCGGGGACTGGTGGGAAGCTCCAGCAGCCAAGACCCCGGTCACCCTCCAGGCACACGGGGAGCAGGAACCCCCCCTTTGAACCACAGGGGGTTCAGCCCTGGGACAGTGGGGTTGTGCCAGAGCCCAGCCCCACAACTCCACTTCTTGTATCCCCCCCCACCTTTTCCCCTCCACTGCAGGAGCCGTAAGGGGGGCTGTGGCAGAGATGGAGGTTGGTGGGGGGGTCAGGACATGCCCCTCTCCCCAGAGACCCTGGTGGGCGGGTGAAGACAAGGTTCTGTGGTCCCCAAGGACCAGGGATGCTTCCAAACAGCACCTCGTCCTCTCCCTCCATCCCACGCCATCCCTCACTCCACACGGGATTCCTCCGAGCCCTCCCGGGGACGGAGCTGACCTGGTTGCAAACCCTCTCCCTGCTCCACGAGCTGGGGGGGAGGTGGCAGCAGGAGGTGGCACGAGGCCCATGTCCAGGGATGATGCCCGGCTGAGGGTTTGGGAGGCTGATGGACCCACAGCATCCAAAAGCACCCAGCCCGGTCGGCTCAGGACATGCGTGTGAGTCTGGGGTTGGCTTTGTCATGAGAAGGATGTCCGGGAAGGGGCAGGGAAGGCTGGGGGACATCATGCTTTGGAGAAAGTGCTTGTAGAAGAAGAGGGGACTCCGGGGTTGGTGCCTGGCTCCTCCTGCCAGCGGTTCATACACCGCCGGCGGGCGTTCATGAAGAAGTTGCTGACGGTGTTGAGCTCCAAGCCCAGCTGCTGCGAGATGGTCATCTGCATCTCCTTGGATGGGCGCTTGTTCTCCTTGAAGATGGCGATCAGGGTGCGGCGCTGGAGGTCCGTGAAGACCAGCCGCTGCTTCTTGGGCTGCAGGCTCCTGTCTTTCTGCTGCTCTTGCTCTTTGCGTTTGCAAGCTAGATGTTCAAAAGAGAGAACAGGGCCATTAACTGGTGCTCACCACCCTGGCCCGCTTGCAGGTCGCCTGGCTGCCTCCCAAAAACCAGGCCCTTCCCTCCAGTAAACCTGCTGGCTTGTTGCCCACCGCTCCCTTGGCTACCCCCCTCCTCTGCCTCCCTGTGCCTCCTGAGCCTCTGCTGAGATGGGACAACAGCCTCTTGAGACATCAGTATGAGAAAAGCCTGGGTGAAGCCCACCACCTCTTCAGATGCCCAGGAAAAGAGCCCAAGTCTCAGCATCTCCAGCTGACCCTGGGACTGAGGAAACTCCTGGGCTGGCTCTGCTCCCACAGCCTGGCTACGGGAACCTGCTCCATCCCTAAATTTTGGGCGACATCCATCAGCCTCCCTCTCTTGCTGCTGGGTTCTCCCTCATCTCCTCATCACCTTTGTGGACCTCGCTGGAGGACTCGCAGAGCTGGTGTCTCTTGGCCATCGTGTCCAGTTGCCAGCTCCGAAATGCAGAGAAGAAACGGGGATGAGGGCTCTGTAGCCACCATATCCCAGGACAGACAGCCTGGAAGGACCATTCATGGGTCCACCTGCCCTGGGAAGGGGTTTTCCTGCCTCCAGAGGCTGCAGAACAGCCTGAGCCACCTGAAACTCTAGAAATTCAGTCTCTCCTGCATGCCTTGGCTACCAGATCCTTCAGCACGTGTCAGGTTGAGCCCACATTGAATTAAAAGCTTTTCCTATGGGTTTGGCTTGAGCCAAAGGTGAGGACAGAGGTGCTGTGACACAGGGACGGGCTGCTGAGGGGCAGGAAAGTGCCTGTGATGCTGCCATCTGGCATGCACACACCTTTTGTTAAATATATGAAGTTTAATTGCAGGAATATCAAGCGCACTGTTGGTGGAAGTGGTGAGAAAAGGAGCCCTTTGCTACGATATTCTTCTAGAAAATGATGGAATAACTGAAGTTGGTGGAAGATGCTGGTTTGGTCCGTACTCAAAGCAGGGCCAACCTTGAAGCTCAGATCAAGGTGCTCAGAGACTTGGCTGCTCAGGACTTGGGCAGACTTGTGTGGGTTACTTTGGGAAAGTGAGATGCCCGTGGGCAAGATAGGGCATGGATCTGGCCCTCCAAGGGTGGGGACACCATCTTTCCTCCTGGGAAGCTCAGAAAAGAGTGAATAAACCATAGACTAAAGACTTTCCACTTTTGCCCCAGAGAAGAGCAGTTGTCAGCCTTTGGGGTTTCTTGGTTGGATCTTCCACAGGATTTTGCAGGGAGGGGAAGGTCCTTTGAGTCATTCACTGTTGGAATGTTGCTGGATGACAGATTTCAACTTGCTTCTCTACGGCACTTCCAGGAGCCTCTTCAACATGGTGGGGGGCCACAGGCCAGGGCTGAAAGCCGCTGCCGCAGTGATGGGGTGGCATCTTGGGTCCACGGGACAGGCATTCCCTTGGGCTCACTACCCTCCTGAGACACAAACCCACCTCCATGGCCAGGCTGAGCAAAAGAGTGGGCAGCCACGTGGCCTAGGAGTGTGGGAAGGTGTCTGAAGTCATTTCTTCCTCCCTAAAGAACAAGCGAGGTCTTCCTCTGACTTTTCTTCAGCTGGCCTGCGCTACGAGTCCTGTCTACACCCCCTTGAACTAACAGAGAAGGATGATTTCCACCCCTTCCACCCAAAACTGGGGAGATCTAGAGCTCAGTGATGTTGATAATTTATCCAACAAATTTAGCCTTGTTTCTGGGCTCGGTTCTTGCCCCATCCCCACGTGGGTGTTCGGAGCCATCGGTTCCCACCAAGGAGGCCCCAAGCTCAGCACAACCAACCACACTTAAGTCAAAATCCCTGGTAAAGACAGTTAGTCAAGAGCCTTCCCCTCCCCGTCACCCCCCCCAAGCAGGTTTGGCTGCAAACCATCCATCCTTAGGGACAAAGGGACAGTCTGAGCCCCGTGGTGCTGGGGGGGACACACACCCTGTCCCAGGGGTACCTTACTCAAACAGCCAGCAGAGAATGGGTTAGCGGAAACCTACCCTATGACCATCAGATGCTTGCAAAAAGAACAAAAAAAAAAGCCTTTATAGAAAATTTGACTTTTTTCCAGACATGAATTAAAAAAAAAAAACACCAACCAACCAAAAAGACCCCTCCCAAATTCCACCCCAAACCAAACAACAAACAGAAAAAGACCTCCCCCCACATCATCATACGTGCACATTCGGAGCAGCGCGTCTTCACCCTGACGGACCCGTCACCCACCTGCCCACCCTCCTGATGTCCCCCTGGTGTCCCCCCCCCCCGG